ATTATTATTATTATTATTATTATTATTATTATTATTATTATTATTATTATTATTATTATTATTATACTAAGCTTGTTTACACTCTATATTACTGCCTGGATTGTTGTCACCTTTTTCATTAAGTTATATTCATCTGAACAGGGAGAATGCCCAGCTTGTAGGAGGCCATTTGTCGGGTATAAGAATCAAACTGTAAGATGTGCCAGTTGTGGAAGTATTGTGTGGCAACCACAAGGAGATTTTTTCTCTCGAGGCAGTAGAGGTGGCTCGACTTCCTCTTCCAAGTCTCAACCGGACATCATTGACGTCGAGTTTGAAGAGAAATGAGTGACGGTTGTGCTTTAGTTCCCATGTGGTAATGAATGCAATATTATTCAAATATTTCCTTTTTTCTTTACGAAAAAATATAGCTTGAGAAGGGTATTTTCATTTATTTTTGTTTTCATGTAATTTACTACTGTATTTGTATGTCGAGAAATGAAATGAGCATCATGCTTGCTGCAGTAATCTGTGGTAATGATCTAACTTTACATGTGGAGAATTTTCCCATTTAACTTCCTAAAATTTTACGGTTTTATTTTGTAATTAGCATTATCTAGAGATTTGTTGATAGGTTACACCTTATAGGTTATATTCTTGATGAATTTACCGGGGCATCTTAATTTGGAGCTTGAATTATGATGTCTTACCCGACAAGGCCAGCTCAAATGCTGGACTTTAAACGTGGTATGTCCTCTGGATTGAATTTGTTTTTAAGTTAGTTAATCAGAATAACCCATCAATTTGTTCAATAAAAATTGAGTACTATAAGTTAAACTTGAATATTGGAAAAATCCCTCAATTTTGAATAAACTTTAGTTTACCTTTACTGTTGCGTGTGTTTGGCTATTAACTTTTTGAGGAAATAACTATTTTCACATGAAGACGGAATAAATTTTACACGGAATAACTTTTACACGCCGTCAAATAATAATCTAATTTTTTTTTCATACCATAAAATACGAATTTTTTTTTTTTTAAACATCCCAGGATGTGATGAGGGGTTGAGGCTACACCCCCGACCTGTGAATATAAAGGCCCAGATAGGGCTAAAAAGTCAATGGTCTACATCTAAGTCTAAAATACATAGAGCAACATAAAAAAAAAAAA